AGGATATCCGGGGTAAAGTAGGAGTAGCCTGAAATTGAAGGAAAGATGAGAGAAAATCGGTTACGGTGGTTTGGACATGTGCAAAGAAGGCCTACTGACGCTCCGATTAGAAGATGCGACTATGGGACAGAGGTTCAGGGCCGAAGGGGTAGAGGAAGACCTAGGAAAACTTTGGAAGAGACTCTAAGAAAAGACTTAGAGTACTTGGATCTAACGAAGGACATGACACAGGATCGAGCACAATGGCGTTCTAAGATTCATATAGCCGATCCCACTCAGTGACTTGGATTTTCCAAGTCTCCAACCGAGAAGTTTTCCTCACTCGGAAAATTAAGGGAACACTACCCCAACCTACATGCTCCACTCAGAAAGCTTCAACATACAAGCTTCAACAAAAGAAAATTCAAAGAACTTAGCGAAGAAGGCTTTGGTGTATTTAACACAATACGTTGAAATGAAGGAAAGCTTATTTATTGATATCCCCGATAAGCTACAAATATGTACATATACATGAGTCAAAATAAACACACAAGAGGGAGCCTTCACAAAGGTTGCTTAGGAGAAGTCTCAGCAGTCGGTAGAGCCCCAGAAAGAGAAGGCACCGGAGGGGGATCATTTGGAGCCTCAGTACTGGACAGAACCCTAGAAGGAGGAGGCATCAGAGGTTGATCATTTGGAGCTTCATTACGCGGTACAGCCCCAGAAGACGAAGGCAATAAATGCCTTTGGAACAAACTGACAAATCTCTGATGATCAAGTAAAACCTGACCATCAGTTTCCTTCATCTGGTCAAGCTTCCTCTTCATGTTTGTAGCATAGTCATGTGCGAGCCGGTGCAACTGTTTATTCTCATGCTTGAGCCCTCTAATCTCCTGTTTGAGACTCATCACTTCAGCCGCCAATGATTCAACTTGGCGGGTTCGAGCAAATAGGCGTTGGGCCATATTAGACACAGAACCTGCACACTGAACACTGAGAGCCAGCGAATCCTTAACAGCTAACTCATCAGACCGTTTGGAAAGTAGTCTGTTATCTTTGGGAGTGAGAAGGTTCCTGGCCACCACCGCAGCGGTCATATCATTCTTCATCACGGAATCCCCAACGGTAAGAGGACCAGTAGGGGAGACGAAGGATGGGCGCCATATGTTGTCTGGAGAAGGCGGGGCTGCCTCTTCAACAAGGTTCAAGTCAAAACGACGGTCGGAGGGGCCAGACATTTTCAAAGGTGTTGAAGAGAGAAGAGGTCGGACAAATCAAGATCTTAGAAGTGCAAGAATGGAAGCTTCTACTGGTGGAGATTCAAGTGTGTTTTGGAACTTAATGCCAGCCCCTTATAAAAATCTGCACTCGACGGAGCTTCAGAAATCGAAGAGGCGCCTGCTCAGAAATCGAAGAGGCGTTTGCTTTCTCAAAAAGCTGGGCTGCTTAGAGATCACGAGGGTTGATCTCAGAAATCGAAGAGGCGTTTGCTTTCTCAAAAGTTGGGCTGCTCAAAGACCACGAAGGCGATCTCAGAAATTCGAAGAGGCGCTCGCTTTCTCAAAAGCTGGGCTCCCCAGAGACCACGAGGGCCGATCTCAGAAATCGAAGAGGCACCTACTTTTCCAGCCTTGTCAGCACCTGTCACACGCACACTCAGCTTTGCGGAAATTATGGGCATTCTGTCGAAGACTTCTGGGGAAGTAGAAAGCACATGAATCTTACTGTTCAATCACCCACTTCCCACACGCAACAATAGCTCATGGGTACCACAGAAAACTTTGCCAAAGTTCTCTGCCAAAGTTGAGCACGTGAAGCTTGCAGCTCCCACTACATCGCTCTGACCAAGAAGGGTAAAAAGAATAGCAAAGAAACAGCACTAACAAAGTTTAGAACCATAAATTTTGAAGGTCTAGCTACCATATTATTACCCACAAGGGTAAAGGAACAGTACCACTGCTGGATAATTGGAAAGTCCCTGTGTGTCAACCTCTGTGCTTCGTGGCAAGGTAGACTAGCAAACATGCCCAACCTTTACTCACATTCGAGAAAACACTCCCAATAAGATTGCTTGCTCCAAAATCGAAGAGGCACCGTCCTCCGAATCTCGAGAGCCAGACTCCCAACATGACTACTTTCTTAAAAATCGAAGAGAGGGTAAAGGAACAGTACCATTGCTGGATAATTGGAAAGTCCCTGTGTGTCAACCTCTGTGCTTCGTGGCAAGGTAGACTAGCAAACATGCCCAACCTTTACTCACATTCGAGAAAACACTCCCAACAAGATTGCTTGCTCCAAAATCGAAGAGGCACCGCCCTCCGAATCTCGAGAGCCAGACTCCCAACATGATTACTTTCTCAAAAATCGAAGAGACACTGCTCCCCGAATCTTCGAGAGCCAGACCCCCATCGTGACTGCTTTCTCAAAAATCGATGAGGCATCGTTCTTCGAATCAATCGAAGAGGCGCTCGCTTTCTCAAAAGCTGGGCTGCTCAGAGACCACGAGGGCCGATCTCAGAAATCGAAGAGGCACCTACTTTTCTAGCCTTGTCAGCACCTGTCACACGCACACTCAGCTTTGCAGAAATTATGGGCATTCTGTCGAAGACTTCTGGTGAAGTAGAAAGCACATGAATCTTACTGTTCAATCACCCACTTCCCACACGCAACAATAGCTCATGGGTACCACAGATAACTTTGCCAAAGTTCTCTGCCAAAGTTGAGCACGTGAAGCTTGCAGCTCCCACTACATCGCTCTGACCAAGAAAGGTAAAAGAATAGCAAAGAAACAACACTAACAAAGTTTAGACACATAAATTTTGAAGGTCTAGCTACCATATTATTACCCACAAGGGTAAAGGAACAGTACCACTGCTGGATAATTGGAAACTCCCTGTGTGTCAACCTCTGTGCTTCGTGGCAAGGTAGACTAGCAAACATGCCCAACCTTTACTCACATTCGAGAAAACACTCCCAACAAGATTGCTTGCTCCAAAATCGAAGAGGCACCGCCCTCCGAATCTCGAGAGCCAGACTCCCAACATGATTACTTCCTCAAAAATCGAAGAGAGGGTAAAGGAACAGTACCATTGCTGGATAATTGGAAAGTCCCTGTGTGTCAACCTCTGTGCTTCGTGGAAAGGTAGACTAGCAAACATGCCCAACCTTTACTCACATTCGAGAAAACACTCCCAACCTTTACTCACATTCGAGAAAACACTCCCAACGAAGCCTTTCGAAATATTCAGCTTTCTTTCCCCCCGATAATACCTCTGTAAACAAGCTATACTAGAGCAAGAATATCTCATATCATCAGGGTTAAAAGCAAGAGTATCCCATATCATGCTTTTTCCCTGTCTTTTCCTTTGGCCTTGTTTTTACCTGCAAGACAAGGAGAAAGAGAGCAATCAGTCAGCACTTGGAATCAAGCTTCCAGCCAAGAACTGACTGCCTGGAACCCCTTACCTGATTACTTACCTGGCATTGCTCTCGAGTACTCATCTTCAACATCTTATGTTTCTAGGGAAGATTCCGCATCTGCTTGAGGAACAGATAGGGCAAGTGCGAAGGATACAAGGAAGCATGTGGAGACAAGCGTAACAGCACACGTGCCGATACATCCATTACTCTGTCAAAAGCAAAAGTATCCCATATCAGCAGGGTGGAACGTACTCTAGATTTGATGGACTTGTTTTGACCCTCAAATTCTTCAGTCGGCCTTATACTCTGGAGGAAACCAGAAAACCCTCCAGCTCAGTTCAAGAATAAGCCTGTGGAAAGTTACTTCTTCAAAAGCAAAAGTATCTCATATCATCTCTTCTCATTTTTCTTCTCTTTATCCTTCATGCTGCTGCAAGATGGGGAGAAGGTGAACAATCAGTCGGAGCTCTGATTGCTTACCTTGTCTGTCACCTCTTTCAGCAGACCCCCTAGCTCGGCGACTTGGGGGACTCCTACTACATGGTTTGTATCGCGCTTGACCAAGCCTGAAACTACAAGTAAGCTTCAAGTGAAATTGATACATTACCTTGTGCATCTCCACCAGTTAAAGATACCACCCCTGGATGGAGGAAGAGTACTTCCAGAGAAGATGCCACATCTACCTATGAGACAGATAAGGCAAGTCAAGACGACTCTACACTCCGATACTTAGAAGTTTCGTGATTACGAGATCATTCTCCCACAATATTTCCTTAATGTCATTTGTACTAAATCATTCACTTGTACTCACTAAAGGAGAGCTTGAACCTATGTACTTGTGTAAACCCTTCACAATTAATGAGAACTCTTCTATTCCGTGGACGTAGCCAATATGGGTGAACCACGTACATCTTGTGTTTGCTTTCCTATCTCTATCCATTTATATACTTATCCACACTAATGACCGGAGCAATCTAGCGAAGATCACAAAAAGCGACCGTTTTCGCTACCTAGGATCTATCTTGCAAGAGAACGGAGAATTAGATGGAGATCTCAACCATAGAATACGAGCTGGATGGATGAAGTGTTAGAATGCATCCGGCGTGTTGTGTGACCGTCGTAGGCCACTGAAGCTCAAGGGAAAATTTTATAGGACGGCAATAAGGCCAGTGATGTTGTATGGCACAGAATGTTGGGCAGTGAAGCATCAACACGTACACAAAATGGGTGTAGCGGAGATGAGGATGCTTCGTGGGATGTGTGGGCACACGAGAAAGGATAAGATTGGGAATGAGGATATCCGAGGTAAAGTAGGAGTAGCCGAAATTGTAGGAAAGATGAGAGAAAATCGGCTCCGGTGATTTGGACATGTGCAAAGAAGGCCGAATGACGCTCCGGTTCGAAGATGTGACTACGGGACAGAGGTTCAGGGCCGAAGGGGTAGAGGAAGACCTAGGAAAACTTTGGAAGAGACTCTAAGAAAAGACTTAGAGTACTTGGATCTAACGGAGGACATGACACAAAACCGAGCGCAATGGCGTTCTAGGATTCATATAGCCGACCCCACTTAGTGGGAAAAGGCTTTGTTGTTGTTTGTGGTGCTTGATGGCAATTTGTTTTATAGCCGACCTTGCCTCAGTGGACTCTCCAAGCTTAAAATGTTAGATTTGAGTTATTGCAAAGATCTTCTTGAAATCCCAGATTTACCTACAAGTTTGGAAATCTTGAAAGCAAATCAGTGCATTGCATTGAAAAAATGCCAAATTTTTCAGAAATGTCGAGTATGGTAGAACTCCCCACTTAGTGGGAAAAGACTTTGTTGTTGTTGTTGTCGAGTATGGTAGAACTGCATCTGAATTACTCCCCCAAACTCACTGTGAGATTCTAGGCTAGCATAAGTCGTTAAACACTATGAGAAGGATTCATATGGAAGGCTGCACCAATCTCACTGCTGATTTTAGGAAGAGCATGCTACAGGTCTCTCTCACTCTCTCTCTCTCTCTCTCTCTCTCACACACACACACACACACACACATAGATCCACACATACACGCCTAAGACATGCATGTATTTCTTATGCATAAGAATGACATGTACATTCTGAGTTTTAGGAAGAACATCCTACAGATCTCTCTCTAAGAGCTGTATTCTCCTCCTCTTTCTATCACATGCCCACAGAGGACCTGTACTGTACATGTACATGACACACGCATGCATAATTAAGGCTATTGCTTATACAAATTAATCGGGCTTTACATGGTATGCTCTAGGGATGGACTTCTTGCGGACATAGTGACATTTTTCTCGATGGAATTTATGATATTCCGGAGTGGTTCCAGTTTGTTGTTATTCATGAGCCCAAAAATGTTCATTTTAAAGTGCCTCAATTTATTGGTCATAATTTTAGAGGATTGACTCTGTGCTGTGTTTTCGAAACATATCGTCCTGGATTAACTGTTACAAATTTACAAAGGGTAAGGCTTTGCACATCTGGGGAGATTCTACTTCCAGTGTAGCTAACAGTGTACTCCGTTTGCAAAGTGTATTATCAAATGATGTACTCCATTTGCAAAGTGGGGACGAAGTCTCGATTTCTGCAGTTACAGAGGCTCATGGGAGAGGGAGACTGATGAAAACAGGAGTTAATCTATTCTGGGATGATGGTGATGGCGGTGACGCATCTCTAGCAATGACGAGATTGGTGCCGTACCGAGCAATACTTCATCTGACGAGGTTTGTACTTCCGAAATTATTAGAGTTATATCGTATATTTGCCAAATTTTAGCACCTAAGTTTAGGTTTTGGTTATTTTTATATTTTGCCCGATTTTTGCTTTTGGTTTTCTATATAATTAAACTTCTTTAATTAATAGCCTCGAGACCCAGGAAGACTATTATTTAGCAAAATATTAAATGATCGATGAATTAAAAATTTATTAATTTATCAAGGTATTTTTTATTTTTTTAAATACTATAAATTGTATTTAGTTTCGTATCTCAAAGATGTAAAGAAATCAACAATTAACTATAGTTGTATACTCTTCTTTCCTAGACTCTTCCATCTCCCTCAGTCCACACTGACGGTTGTCCGCCCATGGCTCCGATCTCAAAAAGCGTGTGAAGGAGGCGTTCATCTAGAACCCCTTCGAGTTGGCCGTAGCATCTGTCAAGCCAAAATACAGGCATGAATTCTACCAGAAGCCAGAAGTGGTTGTTGTGACTATATTCACCAAGGGCATGGCAGACGTTAATGTTGAATTTGGTGAACAAATACTCAGTGTTAGCATTGATGTTGCTGGTGAAGATGCATACTATTTTCAGCCTCGCTTATTTGGAAAGATAATACCTACAAAGTGCAGATTTGACGTTCTGTCCACCAAAGTTGAAATTCGCCTGGCTAAAGCTGAACCATTACACTGGACATCTCTTGAATTCAGCAAGGACAACTCTGTTCCACTAAGGGTCAGTGGTCCAGTTGTTGGGGTGTCAAGTCCAGACTACCCATCCCCGAAACCTATCACAACCTCGTATGCGTCTCCAACTAAAAGAAAACTAGTTAAACACAGACCAAGATGGCAACAAAAACTAACCTTTTTTCCAATAGAAAACAAATGAATTTATGATGGTTCTATTTGAACCTCAAATCTGCTTCTATTTTTTTCCAATTCAAAATTATTTTTTTGAGCCCCCTTTCATTGCAAGTTTTTTAAAATTAAGGGGTAAAGGGTAATGTTATCTTGGGCTTTTACCTTGGGCTTTTTAGCTAAAGTGGATATTGAGACTGATATAACTCTTCACTTGGTCCTTGAGATTTGAAAGCGACAGAAGTGGTTCCTGAGTTTGTCCAGTTTTAATTATTTTGGTCATTCCGTGAAAAACTTTATTAAGTAAGGATCAAAATGAGAAAAAATACTCTCAATTTAATAAACAATATGCCAAAATAATTTGATAAAAATTGAGGGTATTTTTGTCATTTTATTCTTATTTAACGAATAATTTTTATGAAATGACCAAAATAATTGATTGTGAACAAACTTAGAGACTGATTTTATCAATTTTAAATATCATAGATGTAAATCACCACATCAAAAATGTCCTGCCCCAAACTTTTAGAGCAAGTCCACCGGGGGTGGGATAGGCCAGCACCTAGTGGAAAAAACAGGTTGAGACTCAGCCAATCTATTCCAGCCCGTGGAATCGACTGGCACCCAGCCCAAGCCAGTCCACAGGCCGGCTTAAAATTGACAGACCTTGGGACCGTCTCAAGTGACGCCTAGCCGACGTCAGCGTGGTGTCGAAGGGCAAGGAGCCACGGAGGGAAGGAGCCACGGAGCCGTCAACATCGCCAAGCTCGACCTCACTCTCAAAACCCCCCTTTTGTCCACCGGCAGCGGCTAATTCGCCTCCATGAGCAGCTTCCACCCGCTTCCCGCTTCCCGTCCTGTGAGCTCCTCCAAATCTGCATGTGCATTTCCTCCAAATCCGACTGCCTCCCGCGATTCAACCACCTAAGATTGGAACTTTTGAGCTTTTCTAGGAAAGTGGAATTCTGGGATTGGAGTTTTGGGGTTGGAGCAATGATTCTAAGAGTCGGGTTTTTTTTTATGTGGAAGGGATGGGAAGTTGCAGAAGATGAAGGGAAGAAGTCAAAAAGTAAAAATAAAATATTATTTTATAATAAAAATAATAATATTTTAATAAATTGACCAGCCTATTTTTTGTTTAGGAGTGGAGATGCTTTGGCCTATTACTGTTCACTAGGGTTTATTACTATTTACTTGAGTGGATAAATGCGCTAGGTACTAGCGCAAAGTCTTTAGGGGTGGACTTGCTCTTAGCGAAGGGCATGAACCCTAGACTACCACTAAAGTAAACAATCACTCACCTTAAATCTAAATGGAGTCTGAAAATTTCTATCAATACTCACTCGACCAAAAAACCTTATATAGCAAAAATTCCCCCATACTTTCCCCAAAAGGGTAATAAATTCCCTTTCCTTAAACCTAGCTCCACATGAGCTATTACAATTCTTCTATCAAATCTCATTTTTCTCTATTGAAACATTATTAGTTTTGTCTCCTAAACTTAAGAAAGCCCTCTCACGCTCCACTAATAATTCTTATGATATCATCATCTTCATGCATTGTTACTGAAGAAAGTTGAGATTTTACCATAAAACTAATTGGCAATATGTTATATAGGGAATAGTCCCACCTCTTATAAGCCCTTGTATGTTTTGTTTCCTCACCAATGTGGGACTTTGTCTTCACATTCTCACACGCCCCCTCATATATGGCGAATTTTCAAGCCTAACATGTGGACGATACAAACAGGGCGATGTGAGCACATGTGGCCATTAGGCTTTACACATGGGTCAACCTATTCATATACCATGAAGAAAGTTAAGGTTCCATCATAAAACTAATTGACAATATGAAGAGCAACTCAACCTCTTATAAGCCCTTTGCATAGTTTGGTCACTCACCTATCTTTGTCCTCACATTCTCACAGTTAGCACTATTCTTCACATATTTGATCTTCAATTTCAAATTTTCCAGCTCTCTATTCCTCACTTTGTGTCCATCCCGAATCAATCCTAACTCAACCAATTTGATTAATCATGTCAAATGACTCGACCTAACAAAGGCACCATTCAAACTAACAGCAAGTTCATATCACAACTATCAAGAGAAAGAAGAGTTGTTCACTATAACTTTAAATAGCTAAAAGGTGTTGAAACTCCTTTTTTGGTCAACACTAAATAAAGAACATTAAGTGTATACCTCAATCACATGTAAGTGTGAAAGGGGGTGAGTGTCAGGACTATATGAACACCTTCACCACAGATCCACGTTGTTCCTACCATGACAAGTAGAGTTTACCTCAATCACATGTATAGCATCCCATGCCCCCTCCTGCAGATAACCTCTCCTACCTTGTCCTGTCTTGGAGCCATCTGAAACCCCTCAGGGTGCGTTTGTTGCATTGGACTAACTCGGACTGGACTAACTTCAAGGACTAAGCTGGACTGGCTTGGCTTGGACTAACCAGGATAAAAATAGTTAAGTGTTTGGTGCAGTCCCGGACTAGATCTCGGACTAACATATTTTAGATTCAATATTGATGTCTTTTTCCATTTTTCAATGAAACTAAACTTTGATAATCTGCATCTATCTATCCAATTACTTGTCGTCTTCGTCAACACCTACCATTTCTCTCCCTTTTTACAGAAAAACACCAGCCACGCGGCCTCCGAGACAGGAATATCTAATTCCGGTTCCCTTTTGCTGATTGGGAACGATGTACAGTAGAAAGAACAGAGGAGGGGAAACTTGAAATTTGGGTGGAGATGATGAGGGACGGAGATGCGTGGCCATTTGATTTCTGGGAGACCCTTTTTGTGATCAACGGTGAGATGGCAATGCTCGGAGGGGACTGTTCTGATCAAACCACTATCATCTTCCCAGGCCCCAGATCCGACCAACCTAGACTCTTCTCCGAGCGAGAGTCTGGCGATTTGAGACCCGCTGGGGGAGTTGGCGTGTTGGGTCGACGATCCGAAGCGAAGCAAAAAGAGTTCGCGAAGTGATGCAGACGAGCGAAGCGGAGGAACAAAGCAGGTCTTAGCTAGTCCCATGGTTGTCGAGGACTCTCGCTAAGAACCTACAGTGAAAGCTTTAGTCCGTGCGAATCCCACTTAATCTCATTAACGTGAGTCCCGCGTGATACCAAACATTGGACTGGACTAAGAGTTAGTCCAGTCTAGTCCAATGAAACTTAGTGAAGGCAAACAAACGGGGCATCAAATAATAAAAATCAGCATATATACATGTACAAGAACATAAATTGAAAGTTTAGGCAGTATACCTTTATTAAAAAGCAGCCTACAAAACCTTCGTTATCATCCTCCCACATATAAACTGACGAAATGCCACCTTCATAGTACCTACCAAATTACCTAAGAGTGTTTAGTCTAATGGTCAGGCCCTTGGTTTGTTACCAAGAGGTCTGGGGTTCGACACCTCTCAAGGTACCCACCTAGCAATTGCTAGAGTTTCTTGCCTACCAAATGTTGTGGGGTCAGGCGGGTGGCCGAGTGAGTAGTCGGGTCAAAGACCCGGAGACACTAGATTCAAAAATAAAAAATAAAAAAAAATAAAAAATAGTACCTACCAAATTACCGGTTAACCAAGCTGTATGAAATCTTCAGAATGAAACAAAGAACTGAACCATTATGCTAAATAAATTGCACGACGATACTTTCAACACATTCTTGCCTTTTTCTTTTTTCTTTTTTCTTTTTTTTTTAAATTAGCTAATGGAAGAAATATTATTTTAGAAGTGTTTTATACAGTTCAACCAATGCAAAGAATAACACAAGAACAAGGTAAGTAAAGGACCTCACTGGTCAAGATAAATGGCGAAGATGTCGTTTGCTTCAACTTCAAGTTTCCTCAACTCTAAAGATGGGAGGCTGCTGTCTTCTAGTGGCGGATGATATTTGTTTGACCAAGGCGATCTACATGGAAATATAGTAGCACAAAAATATCAACATGGACAATCGATATTCACAGAACAGAAACGATTATACGAAAAAATAAACTACTAGATTACATAGTTATACATGTATTGCACTAATCACACCAATTAAATCAGCATATGAACCAAAACAATAAGTTATATTAATCAAAATATATCAAACATCCAGATTCACAAATCAAGGCCAGATCTGCTACCTCTAAAATGTCCCTAAAAAATGTAGCAATTAAAGTGTAAAACATCAGAAAACTAACACCAATCCATCAAAATTGACAAAGATTTGAGGGTTTTACCTGTAAGAGTCTGCGTCTCTGTTATATTCACACAAAATGAACTGCTTTCCGTATTCGATATCGCACAAAACCTGAATTTCGGGAAACCAGAGAGCAGCACGGTGACTTTAAAATTTGAATTTGAAGAGAACATTTTGTTTGTTTGTTTTTTTTTTTTTTTTTTTTGGATTAAAATGAAACCCTTGAGAAAGAAAATGGAAAGTGAAAATTGGATTGGATTTTCTCGGGAAACAAACAGGGGAGAACCTGGAGGGGCTGATCGACTTGAGAGAGGAGATCAGAGGAGTGCTGGGGGAGAAGGGAGAGAAGGGCGGATAGAGCCGTCTCGGTGTACTTGGGAGGCATCCGACGCATCAGTCCCATCTCTGCTTCCATTTTCCCTATCTTCTTTTTTTTTCCTTTTTTTTTTCAGGTTCGAAATTCGGTTTTGATTTCTTTCGTTTCACGAGTCTCTAATTATTTTTTGGGTTGTTTGTTTGTTCGGGTTGATAAAACTCCAGAACGAAAAGAAAAGAGGCGCCTTGTTTTGGGGAAATTTTATTTAAATTCATGCAATCTCTTTTTACACTAAACTTAAAATTTTGAATGTTAATTGTCTATTTTACCTTATTGTATAATTACTATTAAGTACAAAGTGAAATTAATAATAAAACTCAAATTTATCAATAAACCCAAACATTATAATTAAACCCTACGATCATTCTTTGTTTATCATACGTTCATTCTGCTAAAACCCTAATAGCTCTCATAGAGAAAAATAAAATTTTCTATTGATGGATGGTGATTTTGAAGTTTTGAATCCTCCAACCAAGGTATGACTCAATTTATGAATATTTTGTTCGTTCGATTTCAATTTTTTAAAGTTTAGAACTTGTCGAATTGAACGATGTCTTTAAGGTTTCTGTTCCGCATGTGTATATCTTTCAGTCATGTTTGGTTGGGTGGTGAGTCCTTCATGAGCTTATAATTTTTTGCTTTATGGAAGATTTTTTGAGTTGAGGAAGTCTGGACTTTCCCATTGAATTGCCACTGATGTGAAGGGATTTTTTTCGAGAAAAATCTTGAACCTTGATTCTACAGTCTTGTTGACTCTTTTGGGGGTTTATTTTTCGATTTCCCAAGGACTAAAACATTTTAGAAGCAAATGGTTTATTGGCTCAAAGTTTCCAACATTGTTTCCTGCACTGGAAAATCTCTGCACTAAGCAATTATTGGATTACAAAATATCCATTGCCATCTTTAGTTTTACTAACTTTGAGGGATACATGTCGGGATCTAGGTGAGCCTTGTCCCTATAAACCTGATTACTGTAAGTCAGAAAGCAAGGATAATCTCTGATTGTATTTTTCGGGGGTCTCCCTCTCCCTCCCAATATGAAAGTTATTGTTGGTCCTACATATTCCAAACTCCATTTGTTGTGTAAGAGGAAACCGAAAGGTAGTTGAAGTTGTCTGTTGTTTACTATAAAATGGGGCTTGATTTGTTTTTAGTCAGTAATATGAAAACATTGCTGCAGTTAGCTATATTTGTCCATTTGTTTTAATCATAACTTGAAGATTTTTTATTGTAATCATAATTTTGTCATTTATTTTTTAGCAACAAGAATTCAATGATGCCTTTGATCGAGGTAACGAGGTTGGACAAGAATGTGTGGTGGATTATACTGATCAATTTACAACTTATGAGGTAATTATATATTTATAGTGTCGTTGACGGGTTAGTTAATTTTAGAATTTTACTTCGAAATAAAATATGTGTTACGTGCAGATATTCAAAGGAAAAGATGCATTGATTACATGGGTTTGTGAACAGGGAAAGCTGAATAATATGGTAATTATTATTAAAAGGTCTGATTTAGGAGGTGAAGGTAATACTGTGAGTCGCCCTCGACTAACATTTGCTTGTGAGTCGCCCTCGACTAGCACTTTCGAGAAGTTGTGGTGATACTGTGACTGACATTTTCTGGGCTCACCCTATTAGTATTGAGATATTACGAGCATTCCCACATGTACTTATCATGGATTGCACATATAAGACTAACAGGTATCGTTTTCCACTCTTAAAATTGTGGGTGTGACATCCACTAATATGACATTCTCAGTTGTTTTTGTGTATATAGAGGCTGAGAAAGAAGACAATTACACTTGGGCCCTGACTAGATTAAAGACATTGCTTCATGGCTATTGTCTTCCTGGGGTTATTGCCACCGATCGATCATTGGACGTGGCGAAAATTGTTCCATAAGGACTCAGAAGTATCAAATCGCTACTTGGAAACCTGCTATACCAACATACAAGTAGTGCAGATGGAGGAGCTAGCCAGTTTATTAACACAACAATAAACTTCGTCACGAATTAAAACGATGTCATTCAAAACAGTAAGTAGAAGTTTAACGGCAGCAACACTAGACAATCACTATCAGTCTACCACCCACCAAAGAGTAGGGAATATATCAACTACACATTTTGTTTTTGAGGTCACATGGAAAACTCTATATAGACAAGTGATGATCTCATTTTGCATTGCTTTGCATCACCAGGGTTACAGAAGGAGCATCAATCCTTTCTTTTCTTCTTATTCTCATTCTTCTCGGCCAAGTTCTTCAACTGTGGTAAAGAAACGATAGTCGTTTTAGTTAACAAGTCTACTTAGCCTAACAGATATAACATCTCACAATATAAAATAAAAGAGGAGATGGTCTAAGCACCAACAGTCATAAATATGATAGAAAACAAGACCGAGATAAGGATTTTGCTCTTAAAGCATTAACGAGAACTTACCATGATAACCAGTATATGGACAAACACAGCAACAAAACTGAAATACAGCTGCAACACAATTTCAGAGAATGTTGGAGATATGCCCTGAAAGTCAATCTTTGGAAGAAACCTTTCAGGACAATGAATGAGTGTATAGATGACTCTTATACATCAAAAGGCAAAGATACTAATTAGGACTGTCTCAATAAACGATATATGTCATAAATAGTGAATCCATGGACAATGGATCGATGGAAGAAGTAATCTAATGATGTTAGACTACAGATACCTTCTTCACATAACCATCATGTCCAAAAAGGTTCCTAGTCATAGGATTGTCAGAGGGATACTGACAATGCATAGACCAGTACATACTATGTCCCCTTCAATTGGAATGATGGAAAGTCTCATCCCATTCGTGTAGTGACACTAAGACAGGTATGTAGGTGCTCATTATGGGAATGAGTTCACTGAACACAATCGAACGAGAGTACTTGCATGGAGGTCTACTTACATGTGAAGCAAACAACTCTAATGGTTGGAATAATGTAAGTAATTCTTTGACCTGAGACATCATAGTTGTCTTGGGGATACGTTGTTGATCATTTTGATAACGAGACGTGACCACACCTCATCTTGGGTGTGTTCTATGCATTGTTGAGGTCAATGATTTATTCTCAGAGGCATGTGAATGATCAACAAGGGATCTCTAATCCTCGTTATGAGAGGATGAATACTTTAAGATATGATTCGGGAATATTCGGCCGAAGTATCGAGCGTAATAAAGGAAATCGTTCCTATACGACTCAATTGAATCATATAACATGGAATAATCACATTAGGGGTTTGACATAATATATCCATACCCTAATAATGTGATTGAGAGTATTGTTTTAAAGAATGATCGAATTACATTGTAATTCCAACTGAATAGGTTCTCCGAACAAATTCTACATTAGCTTGGGTAACCATGATATATGGTTAGATGTCACTCATAGCTTGTGAGTTCTTCTAGATGATTAAATAAGTAGTCGTCAAAGAAGAAGGAGAATTAAAAGTAAGTTTTAATTCACTAAGTGATTGGATTAAATATAATCAATTGGATTGGTGCCAATCACCTCACTACCTTGCTAATTAGAACCCAAAATAATTGTACACCGATACACTCTTGTAATGAGACAACTAATGGATGATGGAATAAATTAATTGGATTAATTAAGTGTTATGATTAATTAGAAAGTCTAAAGAAATCATAGAAGCGATGAAAGATCGTTTTTGGACTTAAAGAAAAGTTCGGGTTAATATGGGCCCATTAAGCCCAAACCCATTGGGCTTTTATTTAAGCATATGATGACTTGAAATAATAAAAGCCCAAAGCCCAAACAACACTAAAGGGGCCGGCCAAATAAAGGGAAAGGGAGAGAGAGGGAGTCAAGTTGTTGGCTAACTATCTTTGAGATATAAAAGGAACTTTTAGTAAAAAGTTTCATTAGGGTTTTGTGTGTTCATTTTTCACAAAAGAAGAAAACATCTCTCTCTCCAAACACACACACAAGGCCGGCCACCATAAGGGAGAAGTAGCTAATCATCTTCTCTCCCTTTTGGTTATTCCTCCATCCATCTCACTACACTAGTGGGTGTGGATCTTTAGAGGTCTTCAACCTTGGAGACTAAAGGAGAGCCAAGGAGCACTCATTCTAGCAAGGTGGAGGAAGCAAGGAGGGAGGCTAGGCTTAAGGAGTTCCAAGAACAAAGAGCTTGAAGGTGGTCAATCCTTGGTCTCAAGTCTAGATCAAGAGGTATAAAACTATACCTTCACTTTGTTCTTCAATAATTTCTTAGATGCATCATATATGAACCTATGCTTCTTGAAGGGGATTTGCATGACTATAGCTTTGATATTATGTGATAACATGCTTCCGTTGCTAATGTATATAAATTTTGAATTGTATATGCATGCTAGTCACTAGAAATCCCACATAAATCTCATTATATTCCTTCACATATATCACCCTGTTTTAGCTTTTATACACAAAATGTAGCATTGCCCATCATTCACATGACTAATTGATAATTCCTTACCTCAAACTTGAAAAGAGCTGCAAAACCCCCAAAGACAGAAGAAGCAAAGTGTAACCAAATTAGCATAGAAAGGCCAGAAGAAAGCAAACCCCCCAGGTAAAGGTATTCCTGGCGCCTTGCCAACATGGCTGCTGCTGAGAAACAGCCAAAGTACCATAGCTGCAATTGAATTTCAGAAAAGAACTAATAAAAGAAATGCACGTGGACTAAAAAGAAACTGCTAGCATCATTGCTCTCATACAATAAGCAGTATGATCGCAACTCTCATCAAGCGAAAGTATGTATAGCTCTTTTCAATTTGTCCCGAGAGGGCAAAATAGCTTGAAAACATGACAGTCAATAATGTACAAGAATCTCATTCTCAAACTCTCTTGATAAACTTTATTAAAGCATGAGCTACGTATATATGAAATTATTAAGCTCCCCTCGAGCTTAATTTAGGTTTTAAACATTCCCAACTAACGGATCAAGTATAATCTAAGCCATAATCTATCGCAAAAACAAGGAACAATTTTGATCCTTATTTTTTGAACCATTCAACCAAAGAATAAACCATGAACTAAGTTACTACTATGAAATTCCCATATGTTATTATTGTAGTCACAAGATG